CCTCTAGTTCCTTCCATGTTGTTGTAAATAACAGAGTTTCCTTCCTTTTCAAGGCTGACTAATACATTCCATATTTTCTTTTTCCACTTGTTCATTGATAGCCACTTACATTGCTTCCATATCTTGGCTATAATAATGCTTGAAACAAGTATGAGAGTGCAGTTGTCTCTTCAATATACCAATTTCAATTCCTATGAATATATACCCAGAGATGTGAGTGCAGTATTATATGGCCAAAGTATCTCAACTGACATTTCTCAAAAGAAGAGGTATGAATGGTCAACAAATATATGAAAAAAAAAATGCTCAAATCTGTAGCCATTGAAGAAATTCAAATTAAAAAAACAATGAGATATCACCTCTCACTTGTTAGAATGGTGATTATCAAAAATATATACCATAATAAGAGTTGGCAAGGATATGGAGAAAAGCTCTTACACACTGTTGGTGGGAATGGAAATTAGTGCAATCATTTTGGAATATACTGTGGAATTTCCTTAAAAATGAACTTACCTTTGAACTTTTGTTGAAAATCACTTGTTCATATGTGTTGTGAGTCAATTTATGGACTCCTTCCTGTTCCATTGATCAATACCACACTGTTTTGATTATGATAGCTTTACAGTAAAAATTAAATCAATTATCTTATCCTTCCAACTTGTTCTTTTGAAAAATAGTTGTTTTGGGTAGTTTTATTGTTAGGCTTCCCATATGGATTTTAGAATCAGGTTGTTACAAAAGAGCCAACTGGGATTTTGATTGGGATTATATTGCAAGTATATATCAATTTTAGGGGAATTGACATCATAATGATATCAAGTCTTCTGCTATATGAACATAGTATCTTTTTCTATTTATTTAGGTCTTTTATTTATCTCAAGAAGGTTTTGTAGTTTTCAGGGTGCACGTCTTATACATCACTAGTCGGATTTGCTCCTAACTCCTAGAACAAGAGCCTTCTGTGTATACTATTCCAAGCCCCTTTAATCTTGAGATATTCTTATAATTAGTGGTTCCATTCAATAATAGATTAGATGAGTGTTTCAAAGTAATGTCAGTTGATCACAGAGACAAAAATGTGTCCTAATACTTTTCAATCTGTTCTTTAATTGGAGTTATGTAACTGAAATCATTTAGTTTCGCATTAGGTACACAGCAGGCTTGCATTCACACTAAGCATCAGCTTCCAGCATTGTGTTCTTTGTGGGGTGTGTGTGTGTGTGTGTGTGTGTTAATCTACATCTGCCTGTGTGATAGTTTACTGAATTTTTATAAGTTTATAATTAAATTGGTACCATCAAACCTTTGAGGACATGACAAATAGGATTCTAAGATGGCCCTCACGATTTTTGCCTTCTGGGGTACACTTTATATATCCTTCTCTCCTTAAGTGTGGGTGGGAATTATTAATAAAATGAGATTTCACTCACATGAATAGATTACATTACATGACAAAAAATGAATTTTGAATTAATCAAAAGGGAGGGGTGGGCACTTGGCACAGCAGTTAAGCCACGGGTTGGGATGCCTGAATCCCATATTGGAAACATTTGAGTCCTGGCTCTGCTTCTGATTCCAGCTTCCTGCTAATCCACACTTTGGGAGGCAGTGGTGATGGCTGAAGTACTTGTATCCCTGCTGTGCATGTGGGAGACCTGTCAAATTCTTGGCTCCTGGCTTCAGCCTGGCCTAGCTCTGGCCATCGCAGGTATTTGGAGAGTGAACCAGAAGATGGAAAATCTCTCTGCTTCTCTCTGTCTCCCTTTCCATTTCGAGTAAAAATAAATCAGTATTTTTCAAAGGGAGATTATCCTGGATGAGCCTGACTTAATTTGGTGAAAGACCTTAAAACAGGGACGTGGACTCTTCCTGAGGAGAAAGAAGTTTTCTTGCTGGCCTTGAATAAGCCAACAACCATGTTGTTAATTGTCTGTAGGGAGGGGCAACCTCTAGAGCCTGTATATGCTAAATAACTCAATGCTGTAACTAAAAGGAATGAATTTGCTCAGCAACCTGCATGAACTTGGAAGGAAATTCTGTGTTCATATGAGAACATAGCCTGGCTACCATGTTGCTTGCCACCTTGTGAGCTCCTGAACATTGAAATATTAGCCATGCCTAAACAGCTGATGCACAGAAACAGGTACTAAATGTATATGGTTTTAGGTCCCCAGGTTTGTAACAATGTGTCACTCAGCAATTAAAAGTAACTAATATTGTGGATGCTTGTAACAATGTGTCATTCAGCAATTAAAAATAACTAACACAGTGGATACTTGTGCTGACATTTGAACTGTTCACTATTGCATTAGTTTCCTAGAGCTGCCAGAACAAGGTGCCATAGTCTGGGTCACATTAGCAAGAAAAATATATTTTTTTAATAGCTCTAAAGGTTAGGCATCCAAGATCAAGGTGTCGCCAGGTTTGGTGTCTTCTGAGGCCTCCCTCAGCTTGCTTCCTTTCTGTGTCATTACATGGTTTTTGTGGGCACACATCTCTGTGTCCTAATCTCTTTTTATAAGACCAATTGTATTGGATTAGGGACCATCCTAAAGACCTCAGTTTAACAGTTACATCTTTAAAGATCTTATCTACAAGCACAATTACATTCTGAGGTGCTGGGGGTTAGTGTTTCAACACATGAATTTTGAGGAGACCCAATTCAGTGCATAATAGCCGTAAAGCTGTTTTTGTATTCTTTTCACAAGTGCTATTTTGTTTTGAATTTTTTTAATCCCCGAACCTCTGTTACATACAAGTATTCATATTTTACCATAATGTTAACATGGTTAACATGGAAAAATCCTTGTTATTCTTATCCCTAGTTTCTAGTAACCAATTGGTCTGATATTGAGAAAGATAGCACATTGTGAGTACATATATGCATATGTGTGTGTGTGTATGGTTATGGATTTTATATACTGACAAAGTACTTTCACATGCATGATCTTATTTGAAATCCCAGATGATGTTGTGAAGAATATCAGGACATTATTTTATTATCCTCACTCAAAATTCAGGAAAACACACTTAGACAACTGAGGGAGCTAACTTACTCTCATGTAGCACATTAAGTGTCTTCTAACTCTAAGTATAGCACTCCATCCACCAGATTAACTGTTCTGACAAAGCATTCTAGCCCCAACAACAGGCTTCCTGTTGAGTAAGCATATTTGAAACATCTTACTCTAAGTTCAAATGCATATTTTATAATTGCCCCATCTCATCACCTTTAGTATGAACTCTGGAGGGTTTTCTCCTTGTGTGGATAAGGGCTGCTTGGGCCACACACAGTTATCCTGTTTACTTGACATTTCTGTTGGAGAAACTTATTGTACAGTAACCTCACTTGAACTTTTCTAAGGCAGGGATGATGTAGTGATTTGGACACACATCAACTCAACTTATATTTATTTTAACTTGCATGCTAGTTTTTTTTTTTGATACATGCTGAAATTGATTGCTTTCAACATATCTCCTCAATGAGATTGTAAAATTGCTGTAACAGGTGCTTTCCATCTGATAGGCATTGAGTGTGTAATGTAGGTAGATAAGTACAATAATTATAGAATAAGCATGGTGAATAAGCTAACAATGTGTCCTTGTTAACAAAGGTGAATTGAGTTTTGAATACACTAACAGGCAAAAGATGATAATGCAAAATCCGTGTGGCTGTAGAGTTCTATTTTCACCAGTTCAATAAAGCCTAGCAAGGCAGTGTTCCTTTTAGTTCTAGCAAGTTTCTGAGTAGCTGATTATTCTTAAATTCACCTAAACCCACTATTAGAATATCAGTACATAGAAGTTGAAATACCAAGTCAGCAATGTTGAGCAGATTAGCCTACTGAAGAACTATCTCCCTTTGCCTGCCAACACTCACCTATAACTTCCTTCAAAAAGAAAAACAGAGAAAAAGAAAACACAAACAGTGATTGAACTGGTTGCTAAGAGCAAATTCCTATTTTTTTTTCCAAGGAGGAGTCTGGAATGAAGCAGAATCTGCAGAGGAAGAAGTAAAACAAGGTGGCCCCAGGCTGTAACCGTCAAGAAGGCAAAGAATGAATAGGAGACAAGGTGAAAAACAGGCTTGACTGGGGTTTTGGTTGGGGGCTGCTAGGCTGCAACTGGGAGGAGAGAATGCGGATTCTGACTCAGAAGAACAGTGAGGCCAGAGTTTGAAAGCAGTATAACATAGTGGTTAAGAACTTGGGCAACAGACACACATCACTTGAAAGTCTGGGTCCTGCTCTGGCCCTTATTAATTGGGCACCTTCTTAACCTTTCTCGTTTGTAACCTGGAGATAATAACAGCGTGTATCTCGTGGAACAGCTGTGAGAGCTAAGTGAATTTAGTTTCGCACTTGGTTCCTAGTAGGTGCTTAGTAAAATGTCAAGCTGCTTTGTGATTGGTACTCTACTTCTTTCTTAACACTCTGTATTCCAGTTGGGAGGGGGAGAGCTGAAGCACTCAGCTGCGCTTGAAGGGTGATGAGCAGTTGTGGGAGAACCTGGGTCGGGCTTACTTTGAGATGCGGGCCCCAGTGAAGTGAAGTGGCACCACTTGCAGAGCACACCCTTTGCCCGGGGCCCTGATGTGGCTATGAGGAAGCCAGGGCCACGGCTGGCAGGACGCATGGGTGGATCTCCTTCAGTGGCTGACCCGGGGCGGCCGCACTGTTTCTTCTCCCTGGATACTTAACAGTTTTCACTTCTGCCTCCTGGGCATTAGAAGCCATGTGTGATCACAACCGACTGTCCTGATTTCAGAAGCGTGAGGGCCACTTGGCGGTCATCCCGCTTCCGGGCCCGGCCCTGCCTGGCTTTGGCTACTGCTGGGGAGTTCAGCTCGGACCCCACACGGTCCTAGCCCCAGCTCTTCGCGTCTCCCGCGCAGGCGCCGCCAGGCCACCCCCGCCGCCATGTTTCCCCCGCCCGCACGCTCCCTCCCACCACTCCCCCCTCCCCTCCCCAACTGGGCTCCCGCCCCGCTCCAGTATCCTCCCCCACCCCCTGGTGAGGTCAGGCAGAGGCTCTGCCGCTGCGGCCGCGGCAGCACGGCTCTTATTCCCCGGGATCCCGGAACAGGGACTTTTGAAAATCACTGGAGCGGCGTTTGGGTTAGGGTTTGCGCTGTCTGCTTGCGAGAGGACGGGGTGAAGTGGTTAGGGGGCGATCAGAGTGTTGCGGAGGTGCGGGTGCTGGTACCTCGCGGCAGGAGGCAGCCCCGGCTGTGCCGCGCGACTCCTTCTTCAGCTCTCGGAGCGTGAGCGCAGCTGCGGGCAGACGAGCAGCGGGACGCCAGGACGTGGCAAACGAGGTGAGGCAGGGTCTCAAAGTCACGGGGGCTCCACCAGCAGCTTCTCCGTCTCAGCGACCCGCGGGACGTGGCAGGGAGTTTGATTTGCACCAGGGGCGGTGGGGCAGGGAACCAGCTTCGCTCTTTGCCCGCCTCCCCCACCCCCGTTTCTGCCGCGTGCCGGTGCGCACCCTCGTCCTTACACCTTCGCATCGCTGCCTCTCGGTTCCTCTGGCCCCGCTGGACGCCGGAGCTCTTCTAGGACCACAGAACCCAGTTTCCCTAGACTTCTTTGTCATGCCTCCGAGATACTCTTCTATGGACTTCGCTGTCGCTCCCCTGACGCTCTGAGGTCCCTCTGCCCGCTCAGCCCCACTGTCTCTTGCCCTCTAACAGTTTTCTGCTTTGTGCGTCTTAATCCATCTGTCCCTTGGATTATAACTTGGGAGGCACCGCCGCTGGTTCCCAAGTCACGAGCACACTCCCCTTCTTCCTTGAAGCTTTCAAATTAGCCCTGAACATCTTCAGCCCTGACTGTGTTGACTTTTGGGGTTTAATTATAGTTGATTAATGATTTTGTTGGAGGCTTACAGTCTAGCCTCGGGATTACTGGAACTGATGGGGTCTTTCCTTCATTATATATGCTTTAGGCAATTCTGCCAAGTAACTTTACAGTTTCTTTCTGGGGCTCAATAACTTAGTCCAAGACCCACAGCCACTTAAAATGTATGTATGCATGTTTGTATGTAATCCATGTATATGGTCCTAAGGTTTCTTCCCTACTTCTGGGCAGGCCTGAGAGAGATGGGGCGGGTGTGTGTGTGTGTTGGGGGGGGGATGTTGGTGGGATTCGTGAAGCCTTGCTCCATTTCTCCGTCTGTAAACTAGGATGTTCTTTGTTTTAAGGCAGTTAAAATACTTAGTTGGGAATAAAGGCTCTTAGGTTAGCATAGACTCCTTACTTAGCACACTGCATGGGAACTGAGAGACTCTGGGATTTAAAACTGCCTCTATTAGGAGGGCATGTGCCCCCTCCCGTTTTTTAAAGAAGCCACAGTTTCAGATCTTATGTTTGTATAAACCCACCAGAAGCAGCATTTTCCAATACTCCTCTTAGCGATATCGTTGCTTCATCCCCGTAATAGTTGCCCTGTTAGTCCTCAAACAGGTTCATTTGTTCACTTTCACGCAGTAATTAGTGCATGAAGAAAATTGAATGGGAAGCAGAAAGTAGAGGCAGGATACCAGTGAGCAAGCACATGTAGACGTGTGCTGCTGTGTTGCAAATAGACTGTGCCTAGTGCTCAAATTTTAAAACAGAAAATGCAATACGCAGTTATAATGTGATTTTACATCTAAAAACATCGGCCCCCTTAACTGTAAGTTCTTACGAATACCATTATACCTAGCCCTGATAGATTTGCGGACTTTATGTGTGGCCAGGTGTTTTCAGTGCCACTGTGTGCATTGAGTGGCAGCACTCTCAGAAGAAATCAAGTTGTGGATGAAGATAGTGGCTAAGCTGGTAGCACTTCTTTTGGCAGGGTGACAAGGAGAGTGGTTTCTGCTGCAACATCAAATGCTGTATTTTTAAATAGATAAATAAGAGCCCTAGGTGCCTTTAGAAAGTGTAGTGTAACTGTGTGGGGGTTAGTTGATGTTTTGAAGAGAGTTGCTTTTAAAGAAAGGTGAAGAGTATTGATTATCAATCTAGTTAGGTATATTACAGGTGATTTGTAGTTTTCCCCATTCGTTTGGGAAATCCCTCAGTTCAATTTAGTTTTATTTAAGAAAGGGAATGTAGTCGAGGAAGCGTGCTTATTCTAATAGGCCCACCTTTATAAAGCTGGAATTTTCTTTTCTTTTTTTTTTTTTTTTTTTGACAGGCAGAGTGGACAGTGAGAGAGAGAGACAGAGAGAGAAAGGTCTTCCTTTTTGCCGTTGGTTCACCCTCCAATGGCCGCCGCGGCTGGCGTGCTGCAGCCAGCGCGCTGCGGCCAGCGCACTGTGCTGATCCGAAGCCAGGAGCCATGTGCTTCTCCTGGTCTCCCATGGGGTGCAGGGCCCAAGCACTTGGGTCATCCTCCACTGCACTCCCGGGCCATAGCAGAGAGCTGGCCTGAAAGAGGGGCAACCGGGACAGAATCTGCTGCCCCGACCGGGACTAGAACCTGGTGTGCCGGCGCCGCATGTGGAGGATTAGCCTAGTGAGCCGCAACGCCGGCAAAATTTCCATTTTTTAAAAAAAGATTTTATTTATTTATTTGAGAGATGGGGTTACAGGGAGAGACAGAAAAGTCTTCCAGCCATTGGTTCACTCCCAAAATGGCCACAATGGCTGGAGCTGAGTCCATCAGAAGCCAGGAGCCAGGAGCTTCTTCTGGGCCTCCCACGTGGGTGCAGTTGCGCAAGCACTTGGGCCATCTTCTACTGCTTTTCCAGGCCATAGCAGAGAGCTGGATTGGAAATGGAGCAGCCAGGACAGGAACCGGCACTGACGCATCAGGTGGAGGCTTAGCTCACTATGCCACAGCACTGGGCCCAGGAATTTTCTAAATTTTAAAAAATATTTATATTTATTTATTTAAAATCAGAATGACAGGGAGAGAGAGAGAGAATATGCGAGACACAGAAAGAATCTTCCATCCACTGGTTCACTTACCAAACAACCACTGAGGCTGGACCAGGCCAAAGCCAGGAGCCAGGAACTCTATCCAGGTCTCCCATGTGGGTTGGCAGGGGCCTGAGTACTTGGGCCATATTAGAGCTGTGTTCTTACTTGCATTAGTAGGAAGATAGACTCGAAGAGGAGCAGCCCGGACAGGAATCTGTCCACCAAGCAGCTGCTTAACCCATTGCATCATGATGTGTGGCTCTAGATCTGTAATTTTCTTGGCAACCCATTTTCGAAAGACATGAAGCTTGAAACTTTTAAGGAAAGAAGTTTATATCATTTTGTTCATGTTTTTCCCTTTATGATTATTATTGATAGTAATTCTAGTCTAAGATCACCACTAATAAGAATGTGATTATACAGTAAAACTGTTTCCCAGGAGAGAAAAAGGTGGGTGTGAGTTAGCCATAGCATTTAAAATTTTGTTTTCATTAGTTTCTAACAGATTCAGTGTACTTTGTAGATACAAATCTAAGAATATACTGATATTCCCTTCCTCTGTCCCTCCCTCCCTCCTTCCTCTTTTCTCCTTCCTTCTCCATTTCTTTTTTTTTTCTTTTAGTTTTTGAGATAACATTTTAAAATTACATTATGGTAAAAAGAGTTAATACTTCACTGAACAAGAAATTTAACAAGTAAAAAGCAAAGAACGAAACAAAACAAAAACCCCTAGTTTAGTGGGAATGTAGACAAGAACTATAAACAATAATGGAATGGAAAAATGACCATTTTACACACGTACAGTACATTTTAAAATAATCATGGATCATTAAATCTGTCATAGTATAACATTCTTAACCATTGGTTTGACAAAGGCATAGAACAAAGTTTTACAAAATACTGATACACACAGATATTTCTTCCTTTTTTTCTTTTTTTTTTTTTTTAATTTTAGCTCCCATATATGAGGGAGAACAGGTAGTATTTGTCATAGCTTTTAAAAAAGATTTATATATTTGTTAAGGCAGAGTGGCTACCACAGCCATGTGGTAGCTGAAATCAGGAGCCAGAAACTCCATCTTGGTCTCCCACATTGCGGGGCAGAGGCCCAAGTATTGCGCCATCTTCTGCTGCTTTCCTATGTGCAAGAAACTGAATCAGAAGTGAAGTAGCCAGGACTTGAACAAGCGCTCCTGTTTGGGATACAGCTTAACCCACTGCACCACAATGCCAGCTCTGCCATAAGCATTTTGCTGTGAATCTTCAGTAGGACTTGATATATAATTGATAGCTCACCTGTTATACCTAGAGGTTATTAGACTTGATATTTTCAATGTTACCAAATGCCAGTGTGGTTTGCTATTGTATTATCTTCTTTTTCATTTTCTCTGCATTATAAATTGTATTTCTTCATGTAGTTTGAATTTCAGTAGTGTAGGCAATGAGATGAAAAGAAATGAAACTAACCAATTTCAAATTGTTTGATTTTTATTGATGTATAACAAACTACTAAAACCTCAAAATATTTTTTGAATCCATTGGTCAAAGCTAATCTATTTGCTATGAAATAATACCAACTTAATGGGAATTATTATGTTTCCGAAAATGTAGAAAGAATTTGGAAAAATGAACAGCCCTGGAGAAGATATTTTAAAATTAGAAAACTGGCTTTCTCAAGTGCCATTCATAACAATCAAGATTTTTTAAAGTTTATTTATTTATTTGAAAGTTAGAGTTACAAAGAGAGGAGAGGGAGAGAGGGAGAGAGAGGTCTTCCATTCGATGGTGCACTCCCCAGATAGCTGCTATGGCCAGAGCTGCACTGATCCGAAGCCATTAGCCAGGAGCTTCTTCCAGGTCTCCCATGCGGGTGCAGGGGCCCAAGGGCTTGGGCAATCTTCTGCTTTCCCAGGCCATAGCAGAGAGCTGGATCAGAAGTGGAGCAGCCGGTTCTCAAACCGGAGCCCATATGGGATGCCAACGCTTCAGGCCAGGGCATTAACCCACTGCACCACAGTGCCGGCCCCAAGAATTATTCTTTAATTTAGTAATGCCCATTACAAAATCTGTTGTATGCCTTCTGTGTGTCAAGGCTCTTTCCTTTTGTAGGGTATCCCAGTGCTGTTAGTCTACCAGAGGACGTAGACAATAAACAAGTAAGCAAATAAAGAGTACCCCTTATAGATTATAGTACGAATGGTGAAGAAAATAAATATGGAAATGTAACAGAGAGAGCTGGGAAGGGCCTACTTCAGCAAGGAGGGCCAGGAGAGGCTTCTGTGATGGTTAATTTTTAAGTCCCTTGACTGGATTAAGGAATACCTAGAAATCTGGTAAACCATTATTTTGGGTATGTCTGTGAGGATATTTCAAGAGAAGATTAGAGTGTAATTCTGCGTGGAACAGG